TTATCATATCACTATTGATGGGTTCTAACGGAATATTCTTATTTTTAACTAATTTCGAATTAACATAGGAATGCGTAGAACCCGGATCAATCAAAACAAATGCATGTTCATCATAAAGATAGAAAATACCACTTTCAGATTTATTTTGGTACTGATAACTGAAACCTCGACCTCTTTTTAGACTAAAATGAGGATGACACTCCTGATATTTTAGTTTGTCATCTCCGTTCTATAATATAACTCTCATTTTGTGTCATTTTCAAATCTTTTGCTTTACTCACCACTTCCTGAAAAGTGGACAAATTTGCAGTCAACGGCAGTCCCCTGAGTCTAGGGTGGATGCCTCAAATAAATTTCTGGCATATATCTCTTTTAGTGATAACCATCTCCGAGGCATATCGAGCAAGTTTATTAAACTCACATTTATACTCGTATACAGATTTACCACCCTGGATCAAATTAAAGAAATCCTACTTCATCTGGATTAAACAACTTACTGATATATTTCTTCTAAATACTTTCAGGAAAAGCCACCAAGTGATCTGATCTGGATGAACATGTGTCATCATGTTCGTCCACCATATACGACCGTGGCCTTTTAACAATGAAATTATTCCATCCAATATTTCATCATCAGAACAATGAAGACTATCAAACATTATTTCCACATCATTCAGCCACATATCTGCAACTACTGGGCCTTCGTTTGCTTCGCCTTTAAATTCTGTAGCTCCTAAACTTTTTGATTCTTTCAGAACCGATATTCTCGAAACTGAAGGAGGATATGGTGGCAGAGGAAAGGAAGGTGTTGCAACTAGTTGATATCGAGCCATGATAGTCTCTAGAGTTTGTAAAACGTTCCCTGATCTGGAGCCGACACTCCTTGATGTGCCTGTGCTCCCTATCATTGAGGTACATACTCTACCTCGTTACTATTCCCTCTTGTTCGGTGGATTGTCTTATGCCTTCCGAACCTGACATATAAATACAATCACAAATTTACGTTAGTAAGGAGCAACATCAAAAATAAAATCATCAGACCATACCATATAAGTAATTTTGACATACTAGTGGCATGTACATATTTCTAATATAACATAGGCTCAGTTTAGGTCGAGAATTGGCTAAACCTGTAGCTCTGATACCAATAAATGTAACACCCTTAACCCGTATACGTCTCGATATACGAGTAAAAAATGTTACATCAACTTAAAAATATTTGCTGAACTGAAATTGCCTAAAAATTTGTTTCATTTGAAAACACTCTTATTCTAACTTTAAAAATCTATTTTAAAATATATCTCAACTATAATTTATTTCTTTGTTAAAGGAAAATAAATTCATTTGTTAACCAGTAATTTTACTAAACCATGTTTTTTCATGAAATCTTTTAAAAACATATTAACATAATATATTATTTTCATGCATATATACTGATAAAACTAAAATAAGTAAAATAAACTAAAATAGTTCTAGTTTACTATTACAGATTATTAAAAATAAAGTCAAAAGAAACATCATAGATGTCTTACTGATACTGATGATATGTATGTCTTTCCAAAAAGATGTTCCGATAGCTCCTTAATGATAATACTTATTCTTATTAGAACCTACACATGAAAATCATCACGCGCTAAGTATAACTTAGTGAGGCAGTAATAATCTAAGGTGAGAAAAATATGAAAATATCATAAACATAAATAAAATAATTCAACTTAAAACATTAAACTGGCAAACCAACTTATCCAAGTCAATTTCTTCACCGAGACCTGAAATTTCGTTTTAAATCATGAACTCATGAAAATTTTGATAAATCATATCTGATAAAATAAGCATATCATACTTTCTGTCAACTGGAAATCATTCACAACTTGCATATTCATTTCCATAGCCCAATGCATATTTATGAGAACATAAGATACGTGAGTAATGTGGGCACTATGCACAATACAGTGCAAATCGTAACTGATACTGAGATATAATGCACTTCAGTGCCATCATAACTTGAATGAGCACCAACGGTGCTGGACATTGATACACGAATGTACCAAAGCTGATATGATAACATTGATACACGAATGTATCAAAGCTGATATGATAACATTGATACACGAATGTATCAAAGCTGATATGATAACATTAATACACGAATGTATCAAAGCTGATAATGGATAAATACTCAACTAATGACATGCCAAGTGTACCAACAATTCTCATTATAACACACAATGGGCTTATGTATCATAATAAATCCATCATAAAAATATCATTCTTGGGTAGTTCATACCCTAAATAATTTATAACTGATATAGAATATTATAAAAATATTCTTTATAAACTTTATAAATCAAACTGTAAATTGGAATGAGGTTGATATATCGCAAGTCATCCTCGATCAAAATAATTAAATAAATAACTACACTCACCTTTGCCTTACTATAGATTCCTTTAAGCGATATTTCTAATCACATACTTTTTCTTTTCCTTTCGAATCATCCCGATTGCTAGATTTGTCGTGGTCTGGCAATACCAAATAATAACACAAAGTGTCCGAACTACATATTAGTATCGTATTAATATAAGATATAAGTTGTGAATTCTTTTTAGAATTCACCTCAACCTTTCCATTTAGTTCTTAATGGTCCTTCACCATTAAAATCATTGCACATTAAATATAAAAATTCCAGCACTTAAATAAAATGCTCAAATCAATACCTCAACATTTCAAACATTTATAGTTTCAACTCAAACTTTCCTAACTTTCGATTTTCAACCACCAAACTCAATAAATTTGTAATTCAACCTCAACTCAATATTTAATTCAAAATTAAGCATATTAATAAATTTTCCAGCATTTAATAATTTACTCAAATAATACTTCTTCATTTAATAACTTACAAACAAGTCCCCAAAGTTTTAGAAACTTTCGAATTCCACCATCTAACCATTAAAATGAATTCTTTTAGAATTCTTCTCAACATTTCTAATTTATTCAAAATGGTTTCTTGCCATTTAACTTCAATTCTAAGCATCCAAAAATATACTCAAATATTTAAATATTACTCTTCAGCTTCTAATTCATTTCCACTTAAATTCTAAAATTTTCATATTCAGACAACTCACACTACCTTTAAACAATCTGTATTATGTATTGATATACACACTGGAATTTAATTCCGTTTATTTCACTGAAAACTAGACTCGAATATGAATCTATCAATATAAAGAACTCCTTCTAGTTCATTTTGTACAATTTATGGTAAATTTTAAAAATTGACCGACAAAATTTGTTTTATGCATAATATGCTGCCCCATTTTTCTGACCTTTCATCGGTTAAAAATTCATATCTTTTTGTATATACCTTGAAATTGATCACCGTTTCTTTTAAACAAAACTAGACTGATAAAAGAACACAAATATATAAAAATAAACTCAAAATATATTTTTATAGAATTTCAAGTGAATTTTAAAACTCACTGCCATATTCAAAAATCTAAATTATTTTCATTAATTTGCATCCTTAGGTTCTTCATCAATTCTTACAACACTTCTAATATTAAAAATCGATATTTAATCATAAAAAATCACACTTCCCCTTCATCAACATCTTACCAACTTGAGCATGAAACATGAAGTTTTTTATGCCAAATGAAATAGAATTTTTTGTAGGTTATTTTATCCTTAATAACCTAACTTAAAATTCTAGTAAAAATGGACCAAAAGTTAAAAACAAAACTTCTCACCTTATTAATGGAGTCTTACGGCAGCAAGGAGGATGTAAGCTTTCTTTTTCCTGAATTTTCTATAATTATAACTCCTTTACACTTGTTTAAAAACCATTAAAAATGAATTAAAAATTCATTTTCTTGTTAAATAACCATTTTACCTTTAATAAATCTTCATAACTACAACTTTGTCACTATATGACATCATCCCTTACCTCATCATATCTATAACAAAGATATCATAAATTCTGATTTTTCATGTTTGTCCTTGCAACATTTTAAAAATTGCAATTTAGTCACCTAATTCTAAATTTTTGGCTTAACATGGAAAATCAACCTTAATTATATTGATCCATATTAAATTTCACTTTTCGAAAATATAGAAATAATATTTCCAACCTTTATCTAACATCCTTCACAATTTCGTGAAATTCTGATTCGATTCGATTATCCGATTTCAATATCGAATTTTACCGCTTTATAGCTTTTAACACAAATCACATATCGAAAATCTGATTCTCATTAAAATATTTGTTTTAATCCAAACTGTTCATTTATAAGCTAAAATATATAACTTTCAAAAGTTACAATTTTGGTCCCTACACTTTTCAAAATTTATATTTTAGCCACTAAACTTTCAAAACATACATTTTAGTCACTTGTCAAAATTTGGGGTATTACAATATAAACCTAAATTTATACATAATTAAATAAATTAAGTATATATGTATAGTTTGAGATAAAATTGGAATGATAAAAAAGTTTATGGATTAATTTATAATGAAGGTTATAATTTGATGACGAAATTGCAATATTCAAAAATTTGAGAATTAATTTAAAATAATAATTATAATTTGAGAATGAAATTAAAACATTTAAAAATCTAAAGATTAATTTAAAATTAGAGTCTTACGTTAAATATATATGACGTAATTAACTATAGAAAATAATAATAATACTTAAAAAATAATAATTAAAAAACCTTGTTTATCATGTTGATTCTCCGATTTTAATTATCCGATTGTTTCATGAAGATAAACTTGATGTTTAATTTGTATTAATATAAGAAATGTTACTATTTTTTTTTAAGTATAAGGAGGATTTTAATGAGACTCTTTTAATATTCACTAGTGTATGACAATATGTAGTCATACGGTTTACAAAAAAAATATATATATATAATAATTATTTATAAAAAAGATAATCATTAAACTAAATATTAAGAAAGTAGATATTTTGCTTTAAAAATCCCAGACTCACACAATAACCTCTCTTCACATATCCCCCCGCCGCCAAACAACTCTTTCTTCTTCCTACCAAGTCTGCTTCTCCCTTGCATTCCAACAACAACAAACAAGGTAAATCTTTCAAAACCCTGAACTTTATTTTAAAAGTTATTCTTTTTTTACCTATTGGGTCATGAGATTTGCAGTTGTTTCATCAATCTGCTAATATTTGATCCATTTTCCCCTATTCTGTCTAATCTCGTATACCCTCTATGTTTATCCGCCACCGCTATTTGGAACCCTCACTTTCAGGGAATTTAGCAGTTTGCTTTGTCCTAAATGATATTGCTTTAGTTAATGAATCACCCTTTTATCGGGGCTTTTGTTTACTGTTTGCTAGTTTGGGTTTCTTTGGTTCAATAAGACATGTAAGATGTTTGAGACTTCAGTTTTTTATTTTTGTTCAAGTATTCTAGTTCGTGCTTCGGAGCAGCTAATATGTAACTTTCTTTCGATGAATCATGATTTTGTTCTTTTTGTTTCTGTTGGCATTTGATTTTTTTTGGGGTTTTTTAAGGTTCACTTTTGAATTGATAGTTTTCGGTTCGGATTTATTGTCATCAAATGGAAAGTTTCTAAGGAATTGATTTAGATGATACTGTTTCGGCTATGCATTTAGTCGATGATAGGATCATGTATACCTTAGCAGGTTTTAGAGCCCTTCAATATATGCAAGGGATCTGGTTTTATGCGGATGGTTGAAGTTTCGATTTTCGTTGAAACATTGTTCTGGTTTTGTGAATGAACATTATTTTGATGGTTTTAGATGGTTGAAGTTTATATCTTGGAGGAGATGTATAATCAGGTTTTTTAAAAACTTTTGTGTTATTGATATTTGATATACAGAAAAATTCTTTTGACCCTTGTTGTGAGGACTTGCTAATGTGGTTTTTATTCTTTGTAATCAAAGTTACATAAGTGAAAAGTTGAGAGATTTTGGGATAAATCGAAACATTTGATGTAATGTCTATTAGATCATTCGGTGAAGTACAAAATATTGTGCTCTTTCATTGGAGAAGTTCTGTTTGAGTCTCCAATGTGATCAGTTTTGCATGTTTTCTTTAGCAGCTTTCTATGGGGAAAAGAGATGAAAAGGTGGTTGCTTGAACTTGACCACAAGTTTTGAGAAATTGTTTCTTGTTGGAATACGATATCATGCATGAAAAAAGGATGAATATAATTTTCTATTTTGATCTAAGAACTGTATGGATCTTTTTTTTCTCTGGTTGATTTAAACCATCTTTTTTTTTGCAGAGCTTTTTCTTTTCAATTGTCATCTTTGTTCAGTTGTTTCTGCTTGATAATGGCAACTAGTAAGTTTCATTTCAGCTTTCAGCATTTATAAGCATTTATATTTAATCTTCTTTTGATTCGCTAAGATTGTCATAATATTTCGTTAATCTCATATGGTGATTTATGCAGGGTTTCAGTTTGAAAATTCATGTGAAGTTGGAGTCTTTTCCAAGCTGACCAATGCTTACTGCTTGGTTGCAATTGGAGGGTCAGAAAACTTCTATAGGTGAGTGTCTTCTACATTTTTCTTTTCGCATTCTTGATAATATGCTAAGGTTATACTGGCACCTTGCAGTGCTTTTGAGTCGGAGCTGGCTGATGTTATTCCAGTTGTTAAGACCTCTATTGCTGGCACTAGAATAATAGGACGGCTGTGTGCTGGTGAGAGCTTTTTAAGGCTTTATCGATATTATCTGTTAGATGCCTCTGGCTTTGCTTATCCGAGCTTTCTTTGTTCCGCAGGAAATAAGAATGGGCTACTTGTCCCCCACAATACCACAGATCAAGGTAATTTTATGAGTTATCATGAAGGGAGAATGGTGACTTTCTTCTATTGTTATTATTACTGATTCGGATCTGAACTGTGGCATGTTAAACCTAGAGGCTTTTAATCACATTTTTGTCCTATTTTTGAAGTTTAAACTCAGTTTCTACTTTCTAACATTGATGTTGGCTTATTCTTTCTTATCGAAGAACTTCAACACTTGCGGAATAGTCTACCGGATCAAGTTGTTGTTCAGCGCATAGAGGAGAAACTGTCTGCTCTTGGGAACTGTATCGCTTGCAATGATCATGTTGCTTTGACACACACTGATCTAGATAAGGTAAACTTATGTATGCCATATCAATAATTGATTAAATTATTACCAAGTGCGGTGAAGAGGACCCCGCCTTTCCATTTTATTCAAAGGAGTAAGAATATTTTTGAACTTGTATCAAAATTTTTGACTAAACTATGACTCTTTCGTTTTGGGTCTCTACATCTTTGTTTGAAAAGATTATTTAAAGATACCTTAACATTGATCTTAAAGCCTAATGTTAACTAAAGCTGTCGGTGCCTTTTTTGTTTCCGACTTCCGAGTAAGATGGCACAAGCATGAATGTGTTCCTTTTGCATCTTTATGGTATTACAACTGTTTGTGTTCAATTTGAATCAGGAAACTGAGGAGATAATTGCAGATGTTCTTGGTGTAGAAGTTTTCAGGCAGACGATTGCCGGTAATATTCTTGTAGGGAGCTACTGTGCCTTATCCAACAGAGGTGGCTTGGTAAGATTGAATCTCTTCTTTAAGCAACGATAACTACCATGTATTTTCCCTTTATATATATATATATATATATATATATTCTGATTTTGGTTGTTGACATGGTGCAAGGTCCATCCTCATACATCCATTGAGGACTTGGATGAGCTCTCGACGCTTCTTCAAGTTCCACTGGTGGCTGGTACCATCAACCGCGGGAGCGAAGTGATAGCTGCTGGGATGACCGTAAATGACTGGACGGCCTTTTGCGGGTCGGACACCACTGCAACGGAACTATCTGTGATAGAGAGTGTGTTCAAGCTGAGAGAAGCTCAGCCTACTGCCATTGTTGAGGAGATGAGGAAGTCATTGATTGATAGTTATGTTTAGTGTTTTTTTGGATGTCTGGGTTTTGCTTTTATGTCATTGCTATAGTACAATGTTTAATGTGATCATATTACAAGTTCTGAAACATAAGGGGCCTTTTGTGTGATGTTTAATATTAAGTTTATAAAACAAGGAAATGTATATTGTGAATTCTTTTGAGATGAATGATTTTGATGAAGTCAAGTATTGGTGCATCTTTTTTGCTTTCTTGTTTTGTTTAAAATTTAGTTATCTGTTGGAATTAGGGTGTAAATGAGACTCTTCCCTTGTGAGTAGGGATGATCAAAATACTCGAACCTGATGCGTTTTGACTTGATCTTATAGGGTGGGTATTTCTTTGTTGAAATTATGAGGTTCGGGTGGGACGGGGTTGAGTTTAAGGTGAAAAATCAATGATCTGACTCGTTTAATTTTTATTTTTATATATATTAATATTTAATATTGTAAGAATTTTTATTTTATATTATTACAATATATTATTTTAAATATAATAATTATTATCAAATATATTAATTTAACAATTTAAAATACAACAAATAATCATAAATTTATTAGCATAAAATATATTATTTTAATTATTTTAAAATATTAATATATTCGAATTAGGTCATGTCAAAATTTTAATCTAATAATCAGAGTAGGTTTGGGGCGAGAACAAACTTAAAATTATCGAAGGGCCGAGTTTTAGATATACATTTTCGAATCAACCGAGTGTTGAAATTTTAATCCAATAATTGGTATAAGTTTGAGTATAAAAAAATCTAAAAAATTAGGTTTTAAATAAATATTTTCGGATCGTAATAAAAAAAAACTACCCGTTTCGTCCGTGCCCATTCCTACTGGTAGTAACATTATTGTTTTTAAAATTCAGATTATTATTATATCTGATAGGATACGTAGCATTATTGTTTTTAATTTTTTTTAGAAGTATGCAAGGTACTAATATTTAACTTGCTTCAGTTAAAATATATTTTTTTGAATATTTAACTTGTTTTTATACAATATTTAATTTCAGTTTGAATTTGAATTTAAATTTGGGTAAAGTACACAAATGGTCCCCCAATTATAGGATATTATTTTATTAAGTCACTTGACTATTAAAAAATTACTAAATAATCTATCGATTATAGAGTGTTGCTTTGTTGAGTCCATCGACTATTAAAAATTATAAAACGGTCATCTGACTATTTATTATGTTCTAAACTCGTCTTTTTTTATTAAAAAATTAACGGTATTACTTGTGTGATATGATTAAATATGATCTCAGAATCTCAAACAACTATCATATCTCAGCCATCATGTTAACATCTAACTTAGATAACAACCGTTTTCAAATAGAAAAGGATGAGCTTGGAATATAATAAATAGTCGAGTGATCATTTTATAACTTTTAATAGTCAAAGGACTTAACAAAGTAACATTCTATAATTGAATGATCATTTTGTAACTTTTAATAGTCGATGAATTTAATAAAGCAATATCATATAGTCAAGGATAAAAGCAAGTGTTGGTGTCAACATGTTCGTGAACATTAAATGAACATATTCACGAACCTTAAACAAATGAACACAAACACCTTCAAAAATAAATAAACACAAACATGATGCTGAAAATTTAAACGAACATAAATCAAACATAAACACCATAAAAAATAAACAAATGAATACAAACACAGTTTTACTCTTTCAAACTTTGATCATTTACCACCCCTAATTTTACCCTACAATGCAATAATCATAAGTAACACCCAAACCCAACTTAATTTAATTTAAACTCATTTAGAAACATAGAAGCCCAATCCATTCAACAAATCAAATATCCAAATGTCAATTGATAAAGATACCCTAATCTGATTATTTTCCAGATCCGAATCATAATCTTACACTATCCATTTTCATCCCTATTTTCCTCAATTAACACCACTAGAGATGAACCGAGAGGGCAAATGGAGACAGTTACCCTTGAAAATTTAAAATTACTATATATTTTTTATTTTTCTATGTATTTTACATCCTCTAGAATTTTATAAATTTAAAATCACCCTATTAAGTTAAATTTCTCACCCCTAATTCCCTTAACATCACCAACATCCAATCCATTCCTTTCCTACTTTCCTCATTCAACATCACCATCATCCGACTCACTACCAAAATTTGATCAAACTCAAATTTGCATAAATTTAATGTCATAAAATGATATCTTCTATCAACAACTAGTTGGTCTAATAGGATGAAATACTAGATATCTTAAGCAAGTATCAATTGGTCATTGTGAATGGAGCAATTTCCATAATGGACTTTATAATATATGATCTGAATTAATCAATCAATAGCTTGGAAATCAGTGTGGTTTACAAAAAATAAAAGGGTATCCTCTCAAAACTACAATTATTCAGATGTTTTACCGAAAGCATAAGCAACATACAAGATAATATACCACGAGTTAACTACAAACACTTATTACAATTTATTTAACCAAATCACATAATGCTAATTCGAATTCTCAGTCGAGCTACGACAATCTATTCCAACATCCTTTTTCTCTTAAAAGGAAAAAAAAATCAAAAAATTTAGTCTCTGTGTTCCGAAGAATACCTAATAAGAGCTCTGTTTGATAAAAAAATTTCCCCTTCTTACAGCTAGCGTCAATGTTGTTGGCTTTGTCAACTCATGACGATATGTTTCTAGTCAAAACTATATGAGGAAGTTGTAAGCAGTTCTATCAACAGACTCGACAAGAATGGTTCGGATAACCGGAAAACTAAGTCATTATCCTCTGAGTGGCATTAGCCACCTTCTGCTGCATTATCATGGACTCAGCTTGACGGACTGCTATCTGGGATCCGGTGATTGTCACTTTCCTGCCATAGGTAAAAGATAGATATGGCTTTTAAGAAAACAAATAAAGAAAAATCACATCGTTAACTTACTGCTTAGGTAACAGAACGATAGAGCGGGATTGTTATACCTATCTGTTGTTCCAGACATGAAGTCGCCTCTGTCCGATATTTTTATCCTTGTCACACTTACCTGCAATGACAAAGCGCTCAAGCTTGAAGTATAAGTAAAATAAATGAACCAAATGGTATCTGTTTTATCACTTCTAAACCTGACTAATTTCCATGATATTCCTCCCACTGCGACCAAGAACCAGCCCGATATGGCCATCTGAAACACCAACAGCGATAGAGTTGCTATGATCCTCCTGGACAGACATATGAAAGACTTGAATCAAGTACAATACATTATTCAATTTAATTCAGAAACAATAAGGATATAGGAAGATATCAAAATGGGTATAAGAACACAAATACTGCAATACAAAAGAAATGTGATATAATTTGACTGAAATGTGTCCGTAAACAGTAATGAAAATGTGCATAGGACCGTCTTATATAACCATATAGAAGTCAAAATAAAACAAATTGATGTAGTTTCTCTCAGCAGTAAACAGAGTAAATAGTGTCAGTTACCGCGCGCACATAAAAATAAATCACAATAGAAAGAGGTGAACCTTTTGATTCGGAAACTTCCCTCCAGTCCCATTCGGTGGATAGCTCATTGAATTGTAAGTCGCTGTTGCAGCATAAGGAAGCACATATGCATATGGAATACCATGAAAACCGGAGAAGAAAACACCTAAAATTTCAAGTTAAAGAAATCTTACTGTAGTACATAGTAATGATTACAGATAGGAATAATACCAATTGCTCATTGAGGACATTTCACAAAGAACACATGATCATCAAGAACTGAAAATTTCGTAAGAGGATTAAGATATAACTGTTAAGGAGGCAGCATGATAAGGCATGATATAGAAAGCAATAGTGGTGCTCATGAAGCAGAGACAAGTAACGCTGCGTATAAGTCTCTTTAGACTTGGTGGCCAAATAAAAAAAAACACACCCTCATATGAAAATGGAGCATTTATAGCTTGCGAGTAGTGAAGGAATTCACTAAGCTTAGACAGAACCAATTCAATTGCTCGCATCTGCTCATCTAGAGTACCAGTTAGTATCACTAGCCTATCATTCAAGCCGTAAAAATTGTTATCCTGAGGAGATATCTTAATGCCAGCTTGGGAATCTTCATTAAATGACCTACGGAAAGGTATAAATAACAATAAGGAATTGCAATATCTGTTGAATGCTCGAATAAGGGGGTAATATCACTGCACACCACATAAAACAACCATTTTTGTGTATGGGTAATATATTCTCACTTCCTCGGATGCATTAGCACAAAATAGCATGTTAACAATGATAGTTTTCTTTCAAGACAGCAAGGATGTTATGAGCTCTTCTTACAAGATGCAAAACAAATATTATTTCATAGGTGAATTTTCAAATCATATCAATAAAAAAATCAGAGTATCCATGTAGACTTCTTACTTTATGGTAGCCCCTCCTTTCCCAATTATGCTGCCGCAAGAGCTATTGGGAACAATTAGCCTCACCTTTGTTCTTTGTTCAGGAGGTCTCCTACGGAAGTTGCTCTCAATCTAGTGTTGGGGGCAGCCTACTATCTTACCTCCCCTTACCCCATTACATATGGGAACAAGGGACAGCCATTTTTTTTTTGTTCTTGGTTCAGTATCATCATTATCTTCAAGATTGAGCTGACAAAGAAAAATCATACATAAGTAATAATTTAAAAGACAAAATTTACAGTTAAAAGTCATCATAAAGGTCACCTCATTCAATAATTTCGCAAGTATAAGTTCCGTAACTTTGAGTATTTCATCAACTGTTCCAGAGACCATAATGATCCTATCTGATGTTCCCGGGAAAAATTCATGATTACGCGACAACTGAATTTGAGCTCCCGATTTTGACTGGAAATCAGTAATTGTTGAACCACCCTTTCCAATTACAGAACCAGCCGCGGCATTGGAGACAAGAAATCTAATATATGTAAGTTTCTCCCCATTTTCTGACATAAGAAGAACAAGAAAATAATTAATTACTTAGCTCTGAGATCTTGATTTCGTTGTTGATGAGGAATTTCGGAAGCAAACATAAAATGTTCAACCATTAGACCAATCTCACACATTAATCATTACACTCAAAACATAAAATATCCAGGTTCAAACAATTTCACACATGAATCATTACATTATAAACAGGAATGACATTAAGATTATCGTCGCTAAGTTAAAAGCAGAGAATGAAAAGCTTCGACGGAGAAAATGGAAGATCAGATCAGGAATTACCAGAAGTCAGTGATCTCTGCGGCGTCGATGATCTTTTCCTCGCCGCCTCCGGTGATGACACGTAATAAGACACCGTCGACGCCATTCTTACTTCTCTCCTCTTCAAGACCTAAACCAAAACAATAAATCAATAGCTTTACAGAAAGCAAATAAATATACCAAAAACAATAAACGTTGAGCTTATGAAAAAAATAAAAAAATTCCTCTAATTAATACAATGTGAAACAAACGCTGAGATTAGTACCTTTTTTTATACAAAATTTGGTTTCAAATTTTTGCTTTTCAGCTCATAGCGTTTTCTTCTTCTTCTTCAGTATGAGACTCTTGAGAGCTGAAGGTTTCTTTTTCGTTATATCGTTCACTGTCTGAGTCAGGATCGTTCGAGTTTATTTTATTTTGTTGTATAGTTATTATTTGGGTACATAACATGATTAGTCCTCCATCTATTTATATTATACCTTTTTAGTCATAAACTATTTGTTTTTTAAATCATACCTAAAGTTACATTTTGGTCATCATTTGTTTTGATTTTATTTTGGTCACCTTTATTTCTTTAACAGTAGGTGATCAAAATAAAATCAAAATATAATGTTAGATATGACATAAAAAAATAATGATTAAGTGATCAAAATGGAATCATGTTAATAATCATATAATTCAATGCATAATTTACCCTATTTTTAAAAAATTTAAAACGAGAAACCCCTATTTTAATTGGTTGTTGGTAGGGCTGACCAACGAAATTGAGAAAAACGAAAAATTGATTCGAACCAGATTATGTGGTTCCCTTTGGCTTGAGTTTTTCAATTTGTGGTTCAATTTTGGTTCAATTTTAAAAATTAAATATACAATTCTGTTCAATTTCAGTTTCTTCATGCGAAAACTATTTGAATTGAACCAAACCAAATTAAAGAATAAAAGAAAATAAGTATCCAAAAAAATTCATTTTGAATGTATTATAAGACAAATTCAAATAAATAAAATATCAAAATTAATAATATTTTTTATAAATTTATATTTATATATTTGCACTCATTTAAGCTTTAAATTTGTTTTTGTACGATGACTTTGAACAATAAAACCCCGTAAACCGAACCTAACCAAACCAAAAACCACAATTTTTATGTCATTCGATTTCGATTTCAATTTTTAAAACCTTGCAAAGTACTGTTCGATTCATCTTTTAGTGAAAATTAATTCGAATTTAACCGAATACACCCCTAACCGTTGGCGAAAGTAAAGAGATCTATACAAGTCAGTCGACAAGTACATCTCTATGTCATTCTAATATGAACTCGTAAAAGTAAATACAACCTACTTAATTTTTAATTTGATCCAATTTAATAATATATTTGAATTTAATCAATCAAATTTAGTTCTAAATTAAATTCATAAAAATGCTTAGTCATTATCTTTCGTTTTGGTCATACAACTATTTGTATTTTTAACTCATACCTAACATTACTTTTGGTCATCCGATGTTTTGATTTTATTTTGATCACCTTTAATTTTTAACAGTGGATGACCAAAATAAAATCAAAACATAATGATAAATAGGACTTAAAAATAATAATTAAATGACCAAAACGAAATTGTAACTAAATAAATAATTTATTTTATTTTTTAAAAATAAAGCAAATATATATATATTTTAATTGGTTGTTGGTGAAAACTAAAGAGATCTATAAAAGTCAGCCCACAACACAAGAACATTTCTATGTCATTCTAATATGAACTCGAAAAAGTAAATACGACTACTTAATTTTTAATTTGATTCAATTTAATAATTATTTGAATTTAAATTAATCAAATTTAGTTTTAGTTTAAATTCATAAAAAGATTCGAATGATTAATTTTAAATAATTTATTCTATTAAGGACTGAAAAAAAAAACTAAGATCGATGATTTAATTTTAGGTGATGATTAATATCATATGTAATGCAAAGTGTCATTTGATAAGAACAATCCATTTGATGAAATTAAATTTGGAAAATGATAGATTAGACATATTTAGTAAACATTATCTTTGTAAGGCTATATTATCTTGGGATCATATGACTCCCTTGATGCGTGTTTTGTAAATGCTATAAATTGAACGTAAAATATGTGTAAGTATACACAGTCGATCAAGTAATACAATAGTGAATAAGTATCGTCTCCACTTGGATTAGAAGGGTTTTAAAAGATGTTATAGCAAAAAGGGTGTCACTAAGTATAGCTATGTGTAATGATATAAACAATGAAGGAAATTCTAGCTATGACAAAAATGGTATGAACAAGTGCAAAGTATTGTTGTGGCCGAAATTTTTGTGAAGTGTGAATGTAACAAAAATTTATGTTGTAGCAAGAGTTTTAATGATTTCTGAAGTGAACAAGAAAATTTGTGCTAAGGCAAGATAAATCTGAGCTCTAGAATAAGACTTGACAACCTCACACAAAAAAACTTCTATATGGGTAATTGGTTGGATTTGCTATGGTGAGAATTTATTCTATGCCTATGTTGTCCGACAGGATTTGCTAGAAGTGTTCCTCGGCTATCTCTATTAAGGAACCTGATAAAACTATTGTTATGGCAATATCTCTCAGCGTGAACTGTAGCAGTAGCCTATCGATTAAATTCTTCCCTTTTAGTCGTTTGAAACCCTCTCCTTATCTCTAAGGCAGATTAGATTCTAACCATCCCGGTTTAGTCCCCACGTAGATCTAACCTAACTCTCTCGATATTAGATATTTATACTTAGAAAATGGTTATCTCTTGAAATATCTTACAAGACTAAGCACTTAAAAATATAAACAATGAGAAAAACAACATTTAAACATGAAAATACTTGATATCAATTAACATAAAATAAACATCATTCATAACAAACCCAACATCAAATAAATTAGTTCATGGCGGGCTTAAGTTTATCCATAATCATCTTTAAGTAAAAACCCATCAAACTAAGAAAATAAAAGCACAATGAGAAGAAAAACTCCCAAGGGGCTACTGCCATGAAGCCTAGGACCACCACCGTGAACTGCTCCAGTGAGCTAGCCTCTCTCGAGGGCCTAACCACTACCCCATTGAAGCTCGGCTATAGAGGACACCATAAAAAAGGATGGATAAAGAAAGCATAAGATAGAAATGGTGTTGTCGTATCTCTCCCAAAAACTCAAAATAACTTCTCCAAAAAGCTCCTTTAAATGTAAGGTATCATTAAATATTTATAGTGGGAAATTTTTAGGGTTTTATGCCCTTAAAATTTCCTTTATACCCTAAGAATCATGCCCTACACGTGAATATGAGACAGGCAGGCAGGTGGTCCTAAAAATACCAGCATGTCAGTGTATTCATGTGAGCCTTAGACATCTGGCAACGTGACATCATATTCTTTATCCTTTCATGCGCCTAGTAATTATTGCAAAGTTTTGTCACAACAAAACTTTTTGTCCTTTGCTCTAGAATAATTTCTCCACAACTACTCTTTTTTCTTGCACATCACCATAACAAGACCATTCTCCTTAGCATCATTAGTTTAATCAATAATTTTATGTTGCAACAAGATTTTTCCACCACATGCAACTACATAATCTAAATGCAACTAAAAACTATGAAATTGACTTGTAGACATTCAACAACTTAAGTAAAAAGACCTTAAAACATATTTTTTACGGAGTTATCACACCCTCAAACTTAAGCTATTGTTTATCCTCAAGCAATGGATAATAGATACTAGAAAAATATGTTATGGTAAACATTTTATATCAAGATAGTTATGTAAAATGGAATTTTCGACCTCAGAATATCTGGCTTCAACATGCTAGACAATATTGAGAATTCAAGTACTTTATCATAGAACAAGATTCTTTGTATGTGTGTGCGCGTGATTGTATTTAGTCTATGCTTAACAAAATTAGATATTTTCTAGGCAAGATCTTTTATTTTGCTATATCATTTATTTTTCCATTAAGCACAACTTTTACTCTCATTCTTCTTCTTCTCCTCTTTTTTTTAAACATAAAAAATATTGCTATGAGGGGAGTTAGCCTAGCACAACTACCATCTCACACTGTAGATGAACTGAAGCAAACATTTTATCCCTGAGCTAGTAGGTAGAGTCATCTTTTGATTACTTTCATTCACTCATATGCTACAACTGTCATTTATTTATAAATGGTATCCAAGCAATTCTATATCACAAAGGAGTGTCCCTCTACAGTTATGTTGAATCATTTATTCGTGATTCTCAATTACAAGGGAGTTTTAACTTATCCTTTAAGCTACCATTCATCATTCAAGATCCTTACTAAAAATTTATGTTACAACATGCAAAATTTCTTTAAAAAGGAATTTTCTAAGTTTCTTAAGTATAGAGAACATACGCTCATGTATTAAGTATCATAAAGAATCAAGTTCTAAAGTTAGTTCTATCGTTCTCAACAGTTATGTACATTTAATTCTAGCCTTAGAAAAAAAATTTATCATCATTGGGCATCATCAAATTATTCTAAAAACTATATTAACCCTAACTAATGCCAGAATAAAAATTTCTTCTAATACTAACAATGTAAATGTTTAAGTAAGGACAATACTTCCCCAAACTTGAGAGATGCATTGTCCTCAATGCATGAAAATTGTGTTAAACTAAATGATCCTACATGAATGAAAATGCAATGAATTAGTGGTAACTTCATGTGGTGGAGTGGATTTGCTTGAAATATGCTTGAGGCATCTTTTTAGTAGAGGGGCCTGTCTAGTTCGTTTTCCTTGGATGTGTGTAGGGTTAGGGCAGCAACATGTGCTTCAGTAGGGTTTGGTAGTACTCGTCTAGTAGATCTTTTTAGGCTCCTCATCTTGGGTGGGTCAACTTGCTGTGGCAAATCTCTTGGCATTGGGTGCTTAGTAGATTATTCTGTGGCTGGCTCGGTGGACTTTGGCTGGGCTATCTTATCGTCATTGAATAATTCAGGCTCCAACACCTGAGTATGGTTAGAGGGCACCATGCTAGTCCAATCAACAACTCGCTTTTCGTTAACCTCTATCATCGAGGAATGATGTGGAGGGGTCGGTTCAGCTGGGGTCGGGGAGTCATGTTGGCCTTATTCTATCGCATCATTTTTTCTTGGGTGTTCGAGTCATTTTGTGTCGTAAAAAAG